GCGTTTCGAGTAAGGTCACAAGATCTACAAGTCATTTAGCAATAAATTTCGTGTTCCTGATCATGATGTATGTGGCAGAATGATATTATCGTTGATGTTCGATCGTTAAGGTTTTAAAAAAAATATACAGTCATTCATCAGATGTGCCAATTATAGGGGGGAATGACTTGTAATTGGCACATCTGATGAGTAATTGGATTTTTTTTGTCTTATTTCGAGACAGTGCAGTGTAATTTTGTGATGACGTTTTTCAACGTGTATCTTGCAGATTGCATCGTTCGCAAAAAGCGTGTATCGTTTAGTGAACGTTTGGTGCAGGAACGTTCGTTCAGACCAAATTCATCGATTCTCGGCCAGAAGAAGAAGAATCAACGAAGGTCGAGAAATAAACTCAAGAAGAAAGCGTCTTCTGAAGAATCGTTGAACACCGACGACGATGGCTCTAAACGTGACTCGTCTGAAGAGGTACAGGTTGGTGCAGGCTATCATCTCTTTTGTTGAAATAATGTCAAAGAGAAGTTCTTTTTTTTTTCAAATTATGTGTAGCCCGTATGGAACAAATTTTAAGTATAGTAAGCGAGACCTGTCGATGTAATTCATCATAATTCCATCGTTCAATAGGTCATCTTTAGAGATGTTTTCTTGAGACATATTTTGCTTAATGAATTGGTTGAAGTACCCTTCAGTCGCGAATGAATGAAGAATGAATTTGATTTTAGGATGGCAACCGTGAGAGTAGATACGATGACAAGCAAGAGGAGAGTAAGTGATAAATTTTTTATTGTTGTAGGAATTACTTCGATTGGAGGAAGTGAAAGGGAAATATGGAATGAAAAATTCCTCAATTAGAACTCATTGAAAGTTTTCGTGAATGCTCTTTTGTTTCTGTTTGAAGCACACTACCACGTTTATGATTTTTGAACGCATTTGGCTTATTTGGTTAATTTGTGATGAGTAGAGAAAGGATGATATTGGAGAAGTTATGAATGAATGTAACAGTAATGCTCTGAGTTGGTAACTGAATTTGAGTGGTGCATATGAAAAAGCTTGGAATGTTCAATTTGTCATTTGTGACTGTTTGTTGAATGAAAAATTTGAATCGTTGCAGAAGTGAGTGAATGCAACGGAGATGAAAATTTGTTGGTAGACGATAAGCATGAAAAGAAGG